TATTCTCACACCTTTTTTTTTTAAATGCTGGTGTATCGTGCATTTATATGTCATATGCAGCTTGCATCCCAGAACAAATGATGCAAAGTCCATTGTTCAAGTTTTATCTCAGCCATGAATTTAACAAATGGCCTTAGTGGCAAGTTAATGATTCACAACAAACTGCGATTTCCTTCTTAGATTGTTTTGTTTCTAAAGGTAGGAAACAACATCTAAATGACCTTGGAGAATCTTAAGCAGATCTGGAACTAAATGACAAAGATCTCTACAGGATCTGCTGTACTTGTCAAAATGATGTCAGTAGCATCAACTGCAAGCTCTGGCTCTTTTGTTTGCCTCAAGTGGACAGAGCTTGTGGCAGACCAGTACAACACTACAGTTGTTGCTTTGCCCCCTGCCCCTCCCTGCAGACACACCTAATAGTTGATGTATGGGTGGAAGCCATCAAGAAAAAATTAGGCTAGACTAGGAAAACGAAAAAGTATCCCAGAAGGTGGCAAAGGCAAATCATTCACACAAGCTTAGCAAAAAAATATGAGGCTGTGCCCAGGGTCACCAGGTTTCACTCAAACAAACCTTAAACTGTCACTTCTTCTAGGTGGGCTTGGTCAGGAAAAAGACAAAACAAATCCTCCTCATCCTCTCCTGTCTTTCTGGTCTAAGCTGCAATTATTGTCGCAGACCTTCTTGAAGGTTATCTCCGTGTTATATTTTTGTTTTTAGCTAATGTAATGTACCCGCAGCTCTTCTCAACTGGCACTCTTTGGGAGGTCAATAGGGGTTCTGTGGGACAGTGTAATTATAGATGGGGAAAGTATCTTTTTTTTAATCACTGTGCAATGCTAGTGCTTGGTGTAATGGGAAGTTTTATGCACACAACCCAGCAGCTGGCCTGCCACTTTGTTGTAGCTATAAATGTTGTTTCAGTCTCACTAGATGGGTCAGATCATGCAATCAACTTCACAGGAAGGCTAAAAGTATTTTTATTGAGATTGGCTATAATGCAAAACCTTACAAGCCTGATTCTGCTATCTTCTCTTCATCCTTATAGTTCAGCCAACTAGGGAGGTGTTTGCCTGTGCCCTTTCTGAATGTTATCTGGCCATTCTGAATTAAAAAAAAAAAAAAACATTTTAGTCTTTTTTGTCTAGGCAACAGTTTCTGCATATCTCCATCAAGGTCACTTTCACTTCTTTCTACACATTGTAAAATGTACATTATATAGAAGTGAATGATTATACTTGGGGGGGGGTTGGTATGTGTGCATAATTGTTATTTAGGGGTTTCTCGAGACCTGAAAATTATTTTAAGGATTCCTTCAAAATAAAAATGTCCAGAAAAGCTGTGTTATAATATAGCATGACTTGTGACTGCTATACTACACTATAGATAGCTCAGTCAGCCATGTTTTTTAGACACTCTGGATTGAAACTGTTCTTGCCTACAAATAATGGTTGGTTACAGGTGTACCATTTCTGTAATCAATAAATGTATCAAACAGTGATATTCAAAGAAAGTGCTATAAATATGAACCATTCCGATATTTTAAATCCACTACTGTTAAGTGATATAATTGTTGCTGACTCAGGGGAATAGGATGATTTAACTTTGTAAGAATTCTTGGCCCAACTAATGTAAGCTAATTTTAGTAGCTGCAATTGATGATATATTTGAAGGAAAGAGTCAGTGTATGAGTTCCCAACTTAAATAAGTTAGAAAAATTAACATTGGAAATACACTAATCACGTTGGAGCACAGGATCTCTATCTCATCTATGCTTTTATGTGCTCTTTATATATCAGTTTAATTTCCAATAGTCACATAAAAATCTACTGTGCGATAAAACATTGCACAAAACAGCACAGACAGCAAATTATTTATGTATTTTTCTTTTCCTCCTTGAAAAACATTTGAAGGAGAAATACTTAAAATATTTTGCTGTTTGAGACACATGTCTAAGTTGAATCCTTTGTTTTCACCATCTGCAGGGTAGTAAAAACAAATAAATAAAAGGACAGATTTTAATAACTCAATCTGCAGCATAAGGATGTCAACTTTCACTTCCTAATAACAGGATCAGCCTTGGGAGACAATCTTTAATGTGTCTAAGTGAGAGGCAAGGTTAAGGTATCAGGGTAGAAAGCAGAAGACTGTAAGGTCCTGCTTTAGGCATGAAAGCAAGCTGGGTAACTTTGCGCCAGTCATTCTCTCTCTGCCCAATTACCTCATAGGGTTGTTGTGGAGAAAATAGGAGGAAGGTGCATTAAATATGTTCACCACCTTATTTATAAAAATAATAAAGGTGGGATTTAAAAAACTTTTAAAAAAGCAACTCTAACTAGAAATTACAGTCCATTACAGTCTTGGTCTTGGCACTCAAGCAAATGGGCAGACTCCTACTGACCTTGCATATAAAATTTTGCCTTTCATCTGTTCTGAACCAAGACCCTAATCCAGTGGTGGTGAACCTATGGCACACGTGCCAGAGGCGGCACTCGGAGGCCTCTCTGTGGGCACGCTTGCCGCCGCTGCCAGCAGCTTGTGCAAGTCCATTAGGCTGCCGCTGCCACCCAGGGCGGCAGCTGCACCCAGCACATAGGAGGCGAAGCGGCCAGCTAGCGAGCTCAAATAGAGGTGGTAGAGCATGCCCAGACCCAGCAAGCCAAAGGCCACCCCGAGCAGGGAAAGCCGGATCCCTATCGGCCCCATGGCCCCCAGTCCCAGCTAGGATTGCATGTCTCCCCCCCTATCTATGCTGGGCCTCCTGCCCACTGCCCCACCCACCAGAGATCCCCTGGATCTCCCCCAACCCTACTCGGCCCCCACAGGCATCACCTCCATGAGCAGCATCGAGGTGGTCACACCCACCCAGTCTGGCGTGACAATCGCAGCCATGGTCACCCAGTGGGCCCCGCCCATCCAGTGGGCCACACCCCCATGCCCCCCCTGAGGGCACCATAAAGCCCTGGGTTTTGGATTGTGGTTTGGGCACTTGGCCTCTAAAAGGTTCGCCATCACTGCCCTAATCCTAACCCTCAAGTGTTTTATTTCTGTTATCTACTTATGATTTCCATACTCATGCTGAAATATAGAGAAACATATGATCTACAAAAAAGCAATGGAAAAGCATTGTTCATGAAATAACCACAACCTCTCTGACCTGGGTTATGAAATCAGGTGCTGCACTGAAGAGACAATGAAAGCTGAAATCTTGTAGCATCTTATTTGAAGATAAGGTACTTGGAATCAAGGAACTTATTTCTCAGCTGGCAGATATAGGACTTCTCTGCATGTATGTCCAATTTTGGTTCAGCAGGGTGGGTAGGTCCAGGTTCTGTCAATTATGACATCTTGCAGGATTAAAGAGGTGCACCTATTCTGTTAAAATTCCTGCCCTCTGTAGAATTCATGTGATTCCCACCCTTATGCTATTTAGGAAACTATTGAAGACCTGATTGTTCTCAAAAGACCTGGGGGCAAGGACACTGTGTAACCCCCCTTTGTTCTTTTGCCCATTTTGTTTTAGTTTTGTTATGAATACTTTGCTTTTCTGGTTATAGGATAAGTTGCATCAGGTGGAAACCTTACATGCCAATCTTTTGGTTTAAATGGTTTGTGGTTCTCAGAAAGTTATCAGTCTAGTAAAGACTGAGGACTAAATGTAATCTCAATTAATTTGAATAGAATGCACTTCCAGCCATGTATAACACCTTTAAAACCATAATATGCTTAAGTACAAAATATTTAAGTTTCCTATCTGACTAACACTCTTTTACAATCATTGATAGTGCAATTACACTAAGGAAAGTTGGTGTAACAGAGGAACAAATCTATAAGATTTGTTCTTTAATGAGAAACTGAAATGGAAAGTTACAATACTGTGGGATAAATCAACATGTTATCCTACAAATTATACACACACACACAAACACATAATTTCTGTTAATTGGTATGTGGGTGTGTCATATTCCTTAAGTGGAAGGAATCAGTTCATTTCTGGTTGGGATTTTAAGTGTTTTAAAATATGAAAAGGCAATCTTAAGCCACTCCAAGATAGACACACATTTTACTTCTTGTACCCTCCAAATGTAAAAAGGTTACCACAATGTTGCCCCTCTGGGGCTCACAAAAAGAATTTTGGTGGCAGGGCATGTGAAGGTCCTCTGGCTAGCCTTCTGGCAAGCCTGGGATAAATAGAACAAATCCATCTATATTTTCACATTTTATATGGATCCAGGTTTGATTCCTAATTCAGGATGAAAAATTAAGCAGTAACAGAATAAACAATCTAGAATTTCTCATTAGAGATTCCCCATTTATTTATGGAGGAATGTTAGGCTATAAAGACAATCATTTATGGATTCTGGCTCTTGACAGACAATATTTATAAACAATTTCCTTCGAAGCTTTTCAAAGAGAAATCCACATTGGGATCCCTCAGCTTGCAAACATACCTTTTCTTGAAAGGAAGCATCTCACCAAGTTGAACTTGTTTTCATAGAGCAATAATTTCAAGTCAATATGCTTTTTACAGGATTAATACTAATAACAAATAGATTTAGAAATCAAAATAACTTTGGTTTTAATAATAGTTTTTGCATCACCTTAACTAACGGGCTCACGGAAAGCGCCACTGTATACAAAGAATTCCTATGCAGACATCCGCAATATTGCAGCCTCAGTAGTTACTCACTGTTCTTACTTGGATTTAAGACCAGCGCTTCCCCCCCCCCCCCAACGCTTAGTCAGAGCGTTGTTAGCTGGAAATAGCTGCAAGAATGCAGAAACACCTCGGATGCCACACGGAAACCCGCAAGAATGGAAGTTTGGCCGTGCAGGCGTCCAAGGGCAGCAAAGCTCTCCAAGACCACAACCAACTTTAAAAAGCAGCGCTGAAAGGGAGGAGCAGTGCGGCAGCAAAGCCTGAGATCAAAGCTGATCCAGATAGCGTTCCACCCTCCCGAACCGACCACCCCATCTTTTCCTCCATTCCACGTTACCCTCGTTCAGTTGCTTTGCAGCTGCCACGAGTCCTCGCCCTCAGAAGCAGCCACCGCGCCAACAGCGCCAGCCGGGGTCCGGCACTCCCCTCCCCACTAATAATATCAACGCAGCAGCTCTTCCTACGCGCTGTGCAGAATATCCCTCCGCCCCAAACCCAACGTTGGGAAACGGCGGCAAGAGCTGGCGGCGGAAGGATCCTCGCCAGCGCAGACGCCGCGGTACAACAAATACCGAGCAGCAGCCCGCACTCTTTTGACTGCTCTCCCCCCTCCCCGTCCGTCTCCCCCTCCTGCGCCTCCTCCTGACGCCGTTCTTTGCTGCGGGGCCGGTTGGGCGCTGCCTGGTGGCCTCGGCTCCGGCTGTCTGTGGGGAACGGCCATTAAAAACCGAGCGGGCGGGCGGGCGGCCATCGCGGCAGTCGCCAGATCCTCAGGTGGACCCACCCCCTCGGTCCCCTCCCCCGCTCCCTGCCTCGCCGCCTCCGCGCAGAGAAGCTGTCCGCTGCGGGGCTGCTCGCTCCGGCTGCCGCCTCCGTCCCCCCTTCTTGCCCGCCCGCCTCTACCGCCGAGCCCCGGCTTCCGCCCCCCGCCCCCCACCCACCGAAGATGGCAGGCTGGCAGAGCTACGTGGATAACCTGATGTGCGATGGCTGCTGCCAGGAGGCCGCCATTGTCGGCTACTGTGACGCCAAGTACGTCTGGGCAGCGACGGCCGGGGGCATCTTTCACAGCATTACGGTAAGGGAAAGCCCGCGGCGCCCGGGAAGAAAGGAGCCCTCCCGGATGGGCGGGGGTAAGGAAAGACAGGGAGGCAGGGAACCCGAAATTTGGGAAGGGGGCCGGGGGCCTTTCTCAGAAATGCTGGGCTGTGGATCCGCATCGCTTTGGGGGTGCTCCGCAGGTGGGGTGGAAGGGCTGCAACGGAGCCGGAGCTGCGGAGGACTCCCGGTCCCTCCAAGCCCGGCCCGGCACCCTCCCGTCTCCTCGCTTCACACGCGTCCGCAACACCGTTTGCGGAGGGGCTCGCCTCCTCTCGCCTCCTTCCTACCGCCGGCCGGTGTGGGAAGGGCCGCCCGCTGCCCAGTCCGGCGCTTTCCTTTCTCTGCCTTCCCCTCCCCCGCGCCGTCCTTTAAAGAAATCCTTGGAAAGTGAAGAGGTGGGAGGGCGGGGAGTTCCCTCGTGGAAGGGTTTTGCTCTCGGCCACGGAGTTGGCCTCTTCCCGCGGAAAGCCGTCTCCCGAGAGACCCAGCGGGATGAACGTGTGAACTGAAAGCGAGTCCCTCTTTTTTTATTTCCCCGCCCCCTCCCGGCTTATGGGCTTGAAGGGAAAGACTCCTCCGAGAGCTGGCCCTGGAAGGGGGACGCCTTTCCCAAGTCGTGACTTGAGGCGGGGGGGGGGGGTGGATAGGGAGGTTGGAGAAAGCTGCCGTTGGAGTTTCGCCCCAGATTTCAGGTGCACGTGGGGCCAAGTGTAGGTAGAAAAGCCTGATTCTTCTTGCGATGAGGTATCTATTTTGCACGCTACGGTGCGGGGGCGGCTTTACTACCAGCATTGGACTAAGTCATGCCCGGCAACAGAACGGGAGGAGGAAGAGGGAAAAGGCCGGACCCTGGAAAGGGCGGGGGGGCCGCGCGCGCGCATGATTCAGAGGGAGTTTAGCGTAGGAATCCCTTAGTTTGCTTCGCCCTGTTGGAGAGGGATTTGCGAATGCAGCGTAGGAGGCTTTTGTGAATCCGTTCCTCGCCAGTTGCTCCAGGTTTTTCGCCTCCAAGATGGCGCATTGCCGCTGATTTTTTTTTAACTCCTCCTTTTCTCACTCCTCTCCCGAGATATTAATCACCTCGTTCCTGCACTGCAGTCTTCGTTTTCTCGCCCCTTCCTTCTCTCGCCCCCCATTCTGGCTTTCGGACTTATCCTGAAGTGCCCTGGTCCATAGAAGTAGAGCTGATAAAGGAGAGGGATGATCCCTCTAAGAAGGTTCCGTTATTGTGTGTTGACCAGCCGGCGTTTGCAAGCTGAAACACCACAATTAAATTATATAAGTATTTGTACACATAATTTTCGTGTCAATGCATTTGAAGTGCAATTTGATGTTGCATTACAATCCTGATAATGGCTGGCTCTTTCTCCGGAATGCCATTTTGGCTAACTGCTTGCCTACCTTTGCAGGCATGTGCGAGAATTGACAAACTATAGAAATATGTTTTCCTCTTGTATTAATAATCTATTACAAGAATACTGAGGATTTTGCTTTAGGTATCAGGAATGTTAAGATAAGGCTTAAAAATTGCATTATCTGCAGCAGGTATAGGATGGGTTAAAAAAGCAGTGCCCTTGGCTGCGGCTGAGCTAGTCTTTCTCTAGTGTTGAGATGGTGGTCATGATAGGTAGACTCCTGGCCTGTACTTGGGAATGACTAGGGCCTGCTATGACTCTGCAGTTCCATTGGAAGGAGGGGCCTTCCAATGGAAAAACGTATGGGGAACACATTTTCTAGCTGAGCGGCCTCTTCTATTGTTATTGCCTGTATTGTTTGAACAAAATGCTGGACTGGGTTTAGATAAAAAAGACTGATTTGTAAGCAGCTTGCTAATTCTATTTCCAGCTGTTAAAACAGGCCATGTTTATTACTTCATTTCCCTCTAATATATAACTATCCAGTGCCTGGCAGTTCTGAAAACCTATCCATTTTTCTCTATGAACAATCTCAGTAGCTTTGGAGTTGCTAAAATGCATTACAATATGTTTGCAAAAGCACAAATTTGCAGTAAAGGGAGTAAGAACCATGTGTACTTACATTTGAGAAACCTGGTTTAAAAGTCCTAAAGCTCTCTACATAAATAAGGATATTTTGCATTTTGTCCTTCAATATTTATACTATTCATGCCTTAAAGCTATAGTTACATTGCATCTATGAGGGTTTGTGGTCAGCATAAGGCTGTTAATGGATTGGTTCACCTTCTGTCTCAGATATATGCTGAATCTAAAGGTGGTGCCTATTCATATATACTTCTCTTGATATTTAAGAAGTAACTCCTTAATCTGTATATTATTTCGTTAGCACTCAAAATAACTTAGAGTTTCAAGCAAAGGTGTATTACTTAACCACAAGTATATGCATCCCATGAAAGGATTGGATGCAATATTGGAGCCTATACAAAAGCTGGCATCAATTTGTAAATTTTAAAGCGACTAAAGAGAATTATTGAAAACACATAATAAAGTAGATTTTATTTTATGTTACATGTCATATATTTAAATCTTTGTTCTGGGTTCGCCCTTTTTAGAGTGCAAGTGTGGCATGTCACTCAAAATGTGCTTTCTGCCTAGAGATTCATAGTTAAAGAACAATCCCTTGAATTCAGATTTCCCCCTTTATGTTAAATTGCTGGAGAACTTGTATTGATCTTGCACAATCTCTAGATCCATAGATTCTTCAGTGTGCAGCATTAAAGAATCAACTAAAATTCTGGATTTCTCTCTTTGACAGCCTATAGAAATAGATATGATTGTAGGAAAAGACCGCGAGGGTTTTTTTACCAATGGTCTCACTCTTGGTGCAAAGAAGTGTTCTGTGATCCGAGATAGCCTCTATGTGGATGGTGACTGTACAATGGACATCAGGACAAAGAGCCAAGGTGGCGAACCAACATATAATGTTGCTGTAGGCAGAGCTGGACGAGGTAAGCTTTCTCTTCCACTATTTTTGATTTGCTTTTTTGTTAAATGGTAGAAAATATGCAGGCAATAAATAACTCCAAAAAATTTTGTTCATAAAACTGTTTTGTCCATGTTGTAGTGCAAGATTCACAGTATTAAGGCTTAATGTTGAGAATATAAATGAATTGGCTACATTACTTTCAAAAAGGCAGCCTAAATTTTTAATTTGTGGCATATACATGTAGCATTAGAGAGCAGGGGTATCCTGAGCCATTTAGTGCTCATTTAAATAATTCACAAACTTATGTTAAGCTCACAGGTATTCCATTAAATCATTTTCTGAGCTTGGTGTAGGTTCAGGTAGTTCTCAATTTATGACTACAATTGGGAACAGAACCTGGCTTCCCACATTGATTTTGCTTGGACACCCCTTGGGAAAGTCACAAATAATGATCATGTGATCTCAGGATGCCACAACCATTGTAAATACATATCAATTGCTAAGCACTTGAATATTGATCACATAACCGAGGATGTTGTGATAGCTATAAGTTCGAAGTCTGATCACAAGTCATTTTTTTTCAGCATCATCGTAACATAAAGCGGTTGTTAAATGAATTGTTGTAAGTTAATGATTACCTGTATTACTTTTTGCTTCAGAGTTCAAAAGGTCCCTTCAAACACTTCTGTGGATTGTATTTCTAGTATAAATAAGAAATGTGTACAAAAAGATATTGGAAATTAGTATTTATTCACTACATTTACATCCTGTCATTTCTCTGGAAGTTCCAAGGTCCTATTTTTCCTCCAAACAGTCCTCTAGGATAGCGTAATTTGAAAGTAACTTGCCAATTGTGAAGTCACTGCTCAGATGTGGATGTGAATATGATTCAGATACAAGTCCAGCATCTTAACCAGCTGAGACTTTAAGTGTACAATGTATAGAAAAAGTAGAACAATATATACATGGACACTTTTGTAGTGAGAACGTCTTGAGAACAGAATTACACTATTTTAGTGACATCTGCTGGAATACAAGGGAACATACAAATATGTTTCTAAATATTTCTGAACTATCCTGTTCTGAATCACTTTTATACTGCAAATAATTCTGACCATATTTAAACCGTGGTTTTATAGAGAGTTTATTGTAATTATTTCAGCTATAATTCCCATGCCATAAATATGCTGCTTATCAGACATTAGACAGTTTGCCTGCCTGCACTTTTTCCTATTAAAATGTTTGAAAAAGAAACATTCAAAGAATAATCCTATATAAATGATCTAATGTGAAATATATGAGTATTCTTATTACAGTGCTTAATTAACACTTGGAATGATTTTTAATACTCTTTTTATAATTTTTTTTTTCTCTTCTCTTTCAGTCTTGGTCTTTGTAATGGGCAAAGAAGGGGTCCATGGAGGCGGATTGAATAAGAAGGCATACTCAATGGCAAAATACTTGAGAGACTCTGGGTTCTAGTTGCTAGGCAGACTG